ATATCAACTTTTTCAATACCTTCAGGTAATTCAATATCTTCAATTTTTCCTTTAACTATTCTAATTACTACAAAAAAAAAAAAACAAAGAAAATTTAAAAATTTGAAATTGTTTTTTTTTTTATTGACCTTTATCATATCGATTTGCATGAATAATACGTTTTGTATATTCAATAACATTAGATTTTTCAACCTAATTAAAAATCAATTCCGAATTTTATTTTGTTTAATTTAAAAAAAAACACAAGCCTACCGCTATAACCATTTTAGCACCAGCTTTAGCTGCAAATAAACTAAATACACCAATACCACAACCAATATCTAATACTATTTTATCTTTAAATAAATCTCGATTATGTATAATAGCATTACGAAATGTTTTTGTTCGAATTTCATCTTTTAATAATTCCTAAAAAATATCAATAGATAAAAAAGTAAAAAACATTTATTTTTTTCTTTCTACAAACTTCATGAACACCAAAATGAGCATTTGTATCAAGATAATATTCTTTTGATGTCATATCTTCGGGTGCCATTTTATCAAGATCATTTGAACCATTCTATTCAATTGAAAAATTTAATAATAAAATATTAATAATTTTATACATACAATTAATTGATGAGTATTTTTTATATCCATTTTTTCTTCTCTTGGTTCAAAACTAGCTATTGTCTTCGTCGATTGTTTTTCTACTAGTTGACTAGATAATTTATTTATACTAAAAATTTCGTACACGTGCCAATAAAAATAATTGTTGAAGAAAAGAAAGGAAGAAAAGTAAAGCAATGTTTCCATTTCGTAAGATCCAATCGAAACTGGACATATATATATATATTTATTTATTTTTTCTATCGAATTTATTTTTCAATTCTCCGATAAAAGAAAATAGATGACGTTGTTTTCCTAAAGAAAAATTTTTCTATCATTTAATAAGTATTACAAAAAGTCTATTCTATGATGACATATCAAATATCTTGAAGATTCTACAAGATAAGGAATGTAATGGTAACAGTGATCATTGATCTTAGGTGAGGCACTGTACTAGTCTAGACGAACACTCATAGAATAACGATAAAGACTGAACCTATGATACAGCTACGGTGATCTTTGGATTCATTTCAACTTTTTTAGTCGAGAGTAAACCCCATTGGGTCCAAAATTTTCGGTCCTGCACCTAGTCGAATTTGAGTGCAGGACCAATCCGATGGGCTCTAGTCGAGGAAAGTTTATTTCAAGAAAATAGCTGAATTTTATAAAACATGACTAAATCGTGAGAATTAATCCTTTATCGAACGAGAAAATTGAACTCGAGAATTTCGAGAAACCTCCTATAGATTCGGATTTTTCGACTCTGAAAATCTTTAGTTTATTTTTATAAAATTCAACTATTTTCTTGAAATGGTCTCCACCAACCGGAACAATCGAAATCAATCCAAGGCCGTCATAGTTCTCTCATGCATTCACCGTTAGTCTATGTGTAAATGTTTAGACCAGTACAAAGTTGTACGTAAGTCTGGTGCACTGTCGCATCCCT